AGATGAGTCAGACCAACATCCAGGTCGCCCGCTGAAAAACAATCTCTCCTTGCTCGCAACACCTCAATCAATCTCGACTTCGCCCAGTCATCCACGCCACCAACATTCACGCCTGTTAGGTCATCCAAACATGCCGATGTCGCTATAACATTCACCTGTATACTTTCGTCCTCCAGGTACGTCTCTGCCCTCGCCACCAATCGTCCCTTTTCCCAACTCAGAAATGCGTCGCCACAGTTCCTAATCGGGATCAGGTCCGGTCTGTCCGCCGCGATGAAGGAACGACTCAAAACGTAACTGTATGCCGCCGTGCACACACGCCGCTCGTCGATCCTTACCTTGCCACCGGGAACGCCGCCCACAACCTCCACGACCGCCGCCGCAATAGATTATGGTGGACAGATCATACCTGCCGCCAATCGCACCTCGAACTTATCACTCCCACGCTCCGCCAGCGTGAGTCGCCCTAGGAACGCCGTAATATCGCCTTCGTCGCTTAGCAACGCCTTGCCATCCCGCACCACCATTGTAACACCTGGTACGTCGAGACTCGACTGACCCAAAAGAAGCTCGATATCGCCCACATCGACGTCCGCCACTAACGCCTTAACTTCCAGGTCAATCCCGTCCACTTCCGCCGTGAACCACGCCTCGCCCAGCGCCACAACTTGGCCACCGCCAAACCCGCTGAGCACGACGCCTGTGCCTTCCCGCCTTTTACCTAACCCTAAACGTCTCGCCGCCGCCAGGGTAAGGATAGAACGCTCGCTACCCGAGTCAATGTACGCCTTGACAGGGCAACCATTCACAAGCGCCTTCTTAGCGAACGTGTCTGTCGCCTTCAAAAGGAAACTCACCTTTTTCGACGCGCCGTCCACCCGTGGTCCTGTTCGCGTCGCCTCCTTCCGCCGGGGACAGTTCACCCACACATGGTTCGCCTCACCACATTGCCGACACCTCTCCTTCCGCTCCAAGGGGCAATCCCTACTCATGTGGGTGGTCATCTCTTGGCAGTTGAAGCACCTCACAAGCCTAGGTCCCGCCGGCGCCGTAGGCGGAGAGTGCTCCCGTTTCGTAGGCCTGGTCGCCGTACCAAGCCGCTGGCTCAGGGTCCTCGGGCCGGGTGCCTTTGCCGCTGGCGTTCCTTCCCGACAGGACTCCAAACCTGCCAACAAATCGTTATAGAGAGCCTCCGGGGAAGCACACTTCGCCGCGTATGCATTTGCCCGGTAGGTCTCCGGTAATCCGTGTATGATGCACGAGACTGCATTCTCGCCTGAGATGCCAGCTCGTACACATAGCGCCAACTTGTCACGGTAGTACTCGGTCATCGTTTCGCCTGACCGTTTACGCCGGTTCGCCAGTTCCTCGATGAGTTCGCCGAAATTAGTCCTCATCGGGAACGCCGCCTTTAGTCGGTCACACCATTCCGGCCACTCAAAATTAATATGGTCCAGGCGGTGGAACCAACGCTTCGCCGCGCCGTCCAACCTCGCCTGGCTCGCCAACACCTTTTGCTTTCCCGACCAGCCGTGCATCTCCGCCAACATGTCCAGTCGGGAGACCCATCTGCTGATGGACGCCTCCTTAGCATCAGGGTCAAACGGCTCTACTAGGTCCCACGCCTTCTTTGAGCTGAACTTCATCTCAGTGCCCGTTGTGGAACCACTCGCCTCGCTGGCCGCCGCCTGCGGTTTCGGTTGGGGAGCCAACGCCAAGTCCCCCAAGACCAAAGATGCCCGTCTTTCGAATGCCCTTAGCATCTGATCGGCAAAGCCTCCGCTCATCAGTTGGCGCGCCACTTCCTCTGCCAACCTGCTGCGTTCAACTGACTCCCGCGACTCCCCGGGAAGTTCGCCAGCTTCCAGAGACATCGCGTCATCGTCGGACATCGCCTGCCCCGCCGTAAACCTGTGGAATTAAATGGCGTTAAACGCCGCCCGATATAAATCGTTACTACGCCTATGTGCTAATAATTAATCACCAATAACGCCAAAACACCTAAAGAGTCGCCTATTGTCAACAAATTTATTTTCGCCTGTCAACAGTAAAGTGCATGCACGCCAATGTGTTTTGTTTTTCCCGGTCGTTGGAATGCGATTAAGTAACACGTGTGTGCGCCGCAACAAGTGCTCCTTTGTTCGCTTATGCTACAACATGCCACCTGCACTTTTATCGTTAAAAACGAATGCGTCCTTCGCTATTGACGTTCAATTCATGCATTAAACAATACGCCCAGAATAATGGAAAATGTACTCACGCCTTTTCGCCCCTTGTTTTACCTGGTACTATTTCTAACCTCCCCAAAGACCACCAGCGCCGCCGCCCGCCTTAATTCGCCACCACCACGTTTTCGTCTGAATGGTAAGCCGCCTGCTGTGGGTCAGTCCCGCTTCTGATTTGTTGCCGGAAAATACAAAACACCACAGAATAGTTTTACTTATTTTATTAACTTATCTCGATATCACAATTTCACCAGAACGCCTCGTCTGCCTCAATCGCCTTTCGCCACGGTACTGCTCGCCTCGCCCCTTCACGCCGCCAGCCTCCCCTCTCTAAGGTCGCCTACGCGCCCCTAACAATTAGTATTGTGCTTTAGAGAAAACAAAAAAATTCCGATTACTTCCGAAGATACGACAGAAAAACCAAAACTTGCCGATTTTATGTTTATTTTTTGCTAATTGCTGGTGTTATTTGAACAGATACAACGAGAAAGACAAAAAACACTTTTTCATTGCCACTTTTTGAACTCTACGAGACAGTACCCGCGCACAACTTGCGAGCATACCTATCGGATAAATTCCTAGAAAATGTTACATTCGTATGCTTGCACGATTAAGACGTTGTGTCCGGGTGCGCCAACCTGTTGAAACCCACAATTTCCAACTTTTGTTTTTATTTGTGTGACGTACATAGTTGGATTCGTAATAAAAAGTGCTAGGTACTAAATACAGTGTGTACTTTTTACACGGGCCATATAAAAAAGTATAGTTTGTGATAATTTCTCCGAAACAAAACGTTGTATTAAGAATCTTCCAACAGTGCTCAAAAAGGGGCAATGAAAAAGTATTTTTTGGGGACATGGAAACGGTAGTTCTAGGTTCTAATGTAAACCCGAGTGTCTTCAAATTATCGTCCAAAAAGTTGATAATCGAGTCCAATACTCCACAGAATTCCATCCGCTTTGAGGTTTCGACTAGAACCAGCAGGATTATATTATGCCAGTAGATACGTCAAATTACCGCAACTTACAACGCCACCTGAACCACTGAATTCATCACTTCTTTCCGAGCAAAGCCCTCTATCGAAGCATTTCTTGCAGAATATTCAACATTATAACTGATGTGTATTCCAAATGACATCATTTTTTGGTGCAAATATAATTCGGGAAAGCGATTTCAATCCAAATTTTGCGGTATTATTTTTTCTGTAACCAACATCATACACATGCACATCCATCCCAACATGTAACCAAGAATGCGAAAATTACAAACACCCGTGCGAAGCCGGGTCGGGCAGCTAGTAACTAGTATAATTCAGTTTTACTTTTAAGCAGCCATTTTACATTTTATTTACATTATTTTTATATACAGGGTGACAATTTGAAAACTTACCACCCCCCATATCTTAGTAAATAAACGAGATATTAAAAAAAATCAAAATCCGTTTCGGTAATTTGGAGGGGGAATCACAATGACATAGTTGGCGACGCACCCCCTCCAACTCCCTGCGCCCCAGCCACCCCAACTTTTAAATCTTAAATAGTGACCCCCCATGTGTGATACGTCGTTGGAAAGCTCTGAAAAAATGCTTTCCAACCATACCAAATAGAATTACATTTAGGTTAGTAATTATCGTGCAAATCAAAAAATAAACTAATATGGTACATTTGAAATCTGTCGTATTTAAAACGCAACCGGCGAACATAGACGAACTAAGACAGAGAATAATTCAAGAATGTCGAAATATTGCAAAACCAAGATTGGAAAGGTTCCACAAGAGTTTGAGAATAGATTATAACTGGCGATCAAAAATGAGTTGCTGTCGAGTCGGCTTTGGAAGTTCAAGTGAAATACGATTTTCCGTGTTTATTTTTTGATTTGCACCATAATTACTAACCTAAATGTAATGCTATTTGGTATGGTTGGAAAGCATTTTTTCAGAGCTTTCCAATGACGTATCACACATGGGGAGTCACTATTTAAGATTTAAAAGTTGGGGTGGCTAGGGCGCAGGGGGTTGGGGGGGTGCGTCGCCAACTATGTCATTGTGATTCCCCCTCCGAATTACCGAAACGGATTTTGATTTTTTTAAATATCTCGTTTATTTACTAAGATATGGGGGGTGGTAAGTTTTCAAATTGTCACCCTGTATGTATAACTATCTATACATCTTTCGCTATAAAAACCGATGCGCGTCATTGATTTATGAATCAATTTCAGACAAGTTTTCTATAGATTTCGCACACTTGTTTTTTTTGTACATGTTGCAGTGTTGCAACATATGTCTGAAATAAATTGATACACAAATCAATGACGTGCACCGGTTTTTATATGGAAAGATGTATGTTTATGTTTGTGCTTTAATTTAAATAAAACTACTTAACTAAGTTCCTATGTCAGTTGTTTTGTACTAAGTTCCTATGTCAGTTGTTTTGTTTACTTAATACTAATATGTACAGTTCTACAGCCTACTAATTGCTAATTTATTAAAAATAACACTCATTAGCCACATTTCAAAAACGTTTATAAAACATTGCAATAAGATAATAAACAAGTTTTTGAAAACTATTTTCATGGGTTACAACACATTTTTCTGGCGTTTCAAAAAGATTGAAAAAATATTTCGCAAAGGTTTTTAAGACCCAAAAATCTACTACAAAGCCACTTTACAAAATGCCTGTAAAATATTTTCCAAACAATTCGGAAATATTGAAAAAGTGTTAAAAAATCCATGCTTTAAAATGTAACAGCAATATTTCAAAAACATTTATTCAATATTTACGTTACAATGACTTCCTTGAAAATATGTCTCTGCTTCACTGTAAAAAATAATACAAAATATATATAAGAGATTGTTTGTAATAATTTAGCAGGTATTCAAATTTCTTCCCTAGCCTTTTCTGCAGCTTGTTGAGCTCTGTAATAGATATACATAATTTGGACACATAAATACAATAGTATTGCACTTTACCTTTTTAAGCGAGACGTTGATTGCGCCAACCACAATTGAATAGATTTAATAATCTCTTGTCTTGCTTCTTGAGGATATTTTGTTGCCACCGAGGCTGAAAATGAACAATACAATTGAACAGGGTAGTTACATGTCAAAAATTTACTTAATTATTGGACATGCACAACATGTAGACTCATTTCACATAAAGAACCAATGATCAGTACTAACGATCAGTCCAATCCATTGTATTCAATTATATTGTTCACATACCATCGGTCGACCAAAAAAGATGCTAGAACTTTGGTTCCGTCAGTGACGTGTATGAAACATGGGCCATTTAAAAAACTAAGATTTTAACATGCTCGCGTATCGTCAGTTACAGTTCGATACAGTGTTGTCACCTCAAATACATATGTTCCCGACACATAATACGTTTTCTATGAATACAGCTTAAATTCGACTAATAATCGGTTGACTGAGTGTCAGTACTGACCATCGGATTGTCACTTTGTAAAAATGCAAATTTACTGACCAACTATGGCTTTTGCCAATTCCTTTTGTTGGAAAGCACTCTTTTTCTTTTGACCTTTCCAACTATATGTGCTTGCAAGTTCATTTGATATTGATCTAGACATGATTGCACCAACTGTTTGCGGAACAGATTTTCCCGGCGCCAGATGTACCAAAGACTTTATCTAAAACATTATTTCCTTAATATTGAATTACTATCGTAAGTCAAATCAACTCTTACCAATTTTTTTACGTTCATGGGATTGGATAATTCTTTTTCTACAGTATTTAACTCATCTTCAGTTTTAACAGGGAGAAGGAATGGTTCCTCTTCAAATGCAATGGCATCTTCTACATTTGTTGCATGTCGCTCACCCACTACCTCTACATCTTCTTTTATGTATTTAATAATTTTTTTCATTTTTAACATATCAGCTAAATAATTGTTCGCATTATATTTCAGAAACAGAACATGCTTTACTAGTACTAGACAAATCTGATAATTTGCACAACTGGTGAGAGATGGCAAGCAAAAGATCTTCTTGTTCTCCAAACGTGCAGTTGTGTGTTGCTTTTATTTTACATGTGTGTGTATATTGAACATTACTCCCAGATGAAACAAAGTGATTTTGTCGTTCAAAAGAACTTGGCAGTTTTGGGTACTCCACGGATTGGTCACTATTACATCGCTCTGGTTTGGATTTCTCAGTTTTTTTTTTGCTCATGTTCCCTTGTTCTAAAACCTCGTCTCCATTTTCAAATGCAAATCGAGATGGTTTTTTCTGCCGTAAGCCTCTGCCTTTGGATTCATTGTCCGAGAACAGAGATTGTTGTTTTGATCATTTTGCTTGCTTTCTCATAAGTATCTAAAAAATAGAAACAAACTGAATTTATGAGCAAGTATATTGTTCTATTATACAACTTACCTACCGATATCTTTTTCAATTATGGAAATAGATTCTTTTCCCCAATTTCTATCAGCCGTAGCATTATTTTTCACCAGTGAAGTAATGTGCGCTAAATTTCCGCTTGGAAAGAAACATTGGTTTTGATTTATTATCCATTGTCATTGATTATATACTACGAACAAGATAGGCCACAGTACAGAAAGAAACGTTACACATAAAATGATAATTATTTAATTCGAAGTGCTACTCCCACACAAAATTGAGAAGAAATTACAACAGATAGCGCTTTTCATAATGAAATTGTTTGCGTCTTGATTGTAGAAGTTAGTTTTGATTATAACTATAATTTTCACGGCAAGAATGTTTTGAAATTTAATATGTAGGTATATGTATAGTGATGCTGATAATGGCAGAGTAATTTTTATGCTTTCGAGTTTCATTCATGAATGAACGACTGTTTCGCATATTAACTGATAGAAATGGCGACTCCGAAAAAAGTTAAATTTACCTGAACATGAACTAATAGTATAACCTTTTCGGAATACCCACTCCAAAAATTCGAATATCATTTTAACGAAAAAAAACGTATAGTAGGGGAGCTAGCACGAAATCCACTGAACGAGAATGATCAAAATTTTAACCGATGGAGTTCCATTTTGCCCTATCAGAGTATGCTAAAATAGTATATTTAAATCTGTGCTAAAATCGATCGTCTGCCGCCTCAGGTCATATGACTTAAGGCGCTGCGGGTACTTCTTGTGGTACCAATTCTGAAAGGTTGTTTTTCGAGAAAATAAGTTATACACCAAATGAAAACGTTGATAATGGCTCTTAAAAAAATATTTAAAAAAATCGCGCACATTTGATAACTCCGTAAAAAAACAATTCTTAGTCGGTTTTTCACGAACTTTCTACGGATATAACTAGGTTACGGTTAGACGAATGAAGCTGATTTTTTCTACAGACTGATGATAGGTACTACTAATGACTTAACGGTGTTTCGTTTTTAAATTTTTTATCTAATTATAAGATTATCTTATTATCTTAACAGTATAAGATATCTTATAATTAGAGAAAAAAATTTAAAAAAGAAACACTCTCATAGTCATTGGCTGTGCCTATCATTAGTCTGTAAAAAAAATCAGCTTCATTCGTCCAACCGTAACCTAGTTATATCCGTAGAAATTTCGTTAAAAACCGACTAAGAATTGTTTTTTTACGGAGTTATCAAATGTGCGCGATTTTTTTAAATATTTTTTTAAGAGCTATTATCAACGTTTTCATTAGGTGTATAACTTATTTTCTCGAAAAACAACCTTTCAGAATTGGTACCGCAAGAAGTACCCGCAGCGCCTTAAGTCATATGACCTCAGGCGGCAGACGATCGATTTTAGCATACTCTAATAGGGCAAAATGGAACTCCATCGGTTAAAATTTTGATCATTCTCGTTCAGTGGATTTCGTGCTAGCTCCCCTACTAGTAGTAGTCATTAGACGGTAGTATTTACTGTTTTTTTTACAGAAAATCTATTCTTGCTCACTAGTTGCATATATAAATATTACTAAATTTAAAATGAATTAAATTTTAGGGATGCCGATGACCAAAATTAAGAATTATGGCAATTTGTATTTGTGTACCTATGATATTGCTATACAAAAATACACGGATTTTACGTAACCATTACGCAAATAACCTTTCAAAGAAGAATGCCAATTTAATGTTAGGAAGCATACTAAATGAAGCTTAAAAAAAGTTGTACCATTGAATAAAAACACTATAAGAAGCCTAACGCTTATGGAAGAAAGCGCGACAAATCCCCTTGCACCCGCATTGGTTGTGATCACCGAACTCTCTTTGCGGTAAATAGGAGGAAAGCAAATTCTCATTCTTCTCAATCTTCAAGAATCGACACTATTGACAGTGTTTCCATTATATTCTCAGTTCAATCTCTGTCGCGCTTTATTTCCACGGGGTTAGGCTTCTTATAGTGTTTTTATTCAATGGTTGTACTTAGTCGAGTTTTCTTTATACCAATATATTTTTTTAGTTTAATGCAAGTAAAGTGTAAATTGTTCGATATTCGCCTCAATCTCTCACCGCAAAAAATAATTCAAAACTGCTAACATGCCCACCTATTTATCTTATACTTAACACGCGAGCTTAATACTATCTAAGTTCATACTTCATATTCCCTATACTATAACTATAAACTAAAAATTAGAACAAAATACATTAAATGTGAAAATCCGTACCTTCGTAAAAATATCTAAGTACAATTATACCTACATATAACTACTTATGTTGCCCTATATTTAGTTTTTTTTTTTTAGTAGATGACGATTGAGCTTTAACGGTCTTGAAAGATTTTAACATTGTCGCTAGCATTTTATAAAGTTTACAATTTACAAGTAAATCTATTATATGAGGAGCAGACTTGCAAAACGCGTTTTGTCCAAAATTGTAAATTTTCAGGAATGACAAAAAACTACTACGTACAATACGAGTTACTTACGGACTTGCGTTTGGTATTAAAAAATCTATTAAAAATAGCATGAGAAATTACTAAATTTGCAGACTGGAAAAAGCCAAAGTGGCTTTACTATTTCAAAAAAACTGTTGGACAAAATGCTATTTGCAGGTCACTAGTTGACAAACAGCATTTTGATTGTCCATCCAACAGATCACTGGGTATAATAAATTTGGAAATGAAACAAACATATTGTCGATAACGTTTACTTGTATTATTTACAAACTTTAAATGAAATTAACCTCTTCCATGTCGTTACATTCACATTCTTCATTTGCTTCTATTTCCCCATCTTCACGTTGTTCTTCAAAAATTGGAACTAACCATGCCAGTTCTGGATCATTGTTCCACTTTTCTCCAGATAATGATTCTAATAATTTTTTTAAACTGTCTATTTTTTTTTCTTTATCTGATGTCCCAAAGGTAGCCATGGCACGACTACCTGGTCGAATCGTGTGCGTGGTTTTAGTAAAGATTGGCAAGAACTTATGCCATTCACTTTTTTGAGCCACTGCAGCATATTTTTTACATCAAGCAGATTCCAATCAGACCCAAGTTTTCGTACCTCGCCCACTTTAGTGTACAATTCCCAATATGCGTCTGGAGTTTTTATGAGACTGTGGGACCTTAATATTTTTTCGATGCGTCCAAAGATTCGATCGGCAGGAAGATAAGAGTGACCTCTGATCGGAAATATAATTTCTATTTCCTTTATTTTTTCGCCTGACGTATGGAGCCAAAACATCAAAGCATGTATGACGTGACTATTTTTGTTTTGCCCCCCACAGCCGTCGGCAAAAAAACGGATCTTCGTCGCATCTTCAGGAAATTCAGTTCTTTTTAAAAAATCAATAATGGCAGATGATGTCTCAGTAGCCCCCCTTCCTGCTTGGTGTTCCATCCACGTGTAAAATATTGGTTCTTGACAATTGAGTTTGGTAACGCAAAAAAAATATATTGACAGCTGTTGAGCGTAAAATGCCTCTTGAATAGGTACTTTTGGCAATACCTGAACTTGCTGTAAGTCGAAGCAGTACGAAACTGTATTAGGCACTTCAGTTTTCATTAACTTATGGAATTGTGTGGCACGAAATTTGTGTACTTTCAGTTCAGTGGATATTTTCTGCTTTTCAGAAGAGCTTTGAGACATACTTATTTTGGTTTGTGTTCTTACACAATAGCTACAAACATCAGTAGCAGGACTGCCGAATCCAATATTGAAATATTTACTGAACACCCGACTGAAGTACTTGTAATTCACTTTTAAACCTTCTGGTGAGTTTTTGTTATATAACTGCCAAAGAATAGAAATGTTGTACTCCGAAGATATGTAGATCCGTCGAGACTTCTGTCTTCCATAGTGGCTCTCTTTTCCTTGTAATTGACTAATGAACGACTTTACAGCATCCAATTTGTCTACAAACTTAAAAGCTCGTCTATCGCCTCCTCTTTTTTCTTTTATAATTTCCTCCCCAGCCTGGAGTTTCTTGCAAATTGTGTTTAGTCTCCTTTGACAAACGTTGTATACAGCCATTACAAACTTTTGACAAATTTGTACTTTTTGTCGACTGATATATACCTGTAAAAATTCGAATATAACACACCTACTAAGTGAAAAAAGCAGTAAAAGATCAACAAAAGCTCGAGAACTTTAATATTCTTTCCAACATAAAAAATGGTTGCACCAAATTGTTGATGAAACACGACGTATGTAAGACTCAAAACATGGAGTCTTTTATCAAAAACGACGTATGTACTTTTATACTTACATGATATTTTGCAGACAAGGAGTGCGGTTTTCCATCAGATTTGCGAGCTCTTTTTCGTTTAGGGATATCCAACTCAATGTTACTGGCTAATATTCCATCTTGAATAACTTTATTGGGATTTTTGTAAAAAACTTCCCGAAGTTTAAGTATATCATCTCGCCCTACTTGCCCACACTGCAGTTTTGGATTATTCTTATGATTACAAACTATATTAAATTGTTGTAAATCAGGATCATGGTTTGAATATCTGACTTGCTTCTTTCTCTCCCTGGATGTTAAATTTGCTTGTCGTTTCCGGCTACCACGGTCACAATCACCAACAATATGCTCCCCATCTGCAGATTCCATTGTAATTGAAACGTTGCGAAAAAGATGCAAACTAAACACACAATACTGCAAAATAAACCGAAACGACACTAAGAGCAGTAACCTAACTGTTAGGTTATAAAAACAGCGTGTTTACGGCTGGACTGAATGCGTTTTGTTCGTCTCACGGACAAAATGCTATTTGTTTGTCTAATGTCGATGGACTAAATGCATTTTGCATGTCCAAGTGAATTTCACAACACATTTCAAGTGGGACATAATGCGATTTGGACATCCAATATTATATGAAACGATAGAGATTCAAGTGTATATTGCAACGCCACCTTCAGTTGAAAAATTTAAAATTTGGACAAACTGCGTTTTGCAAGTCTGCTCCTCATAT